GTGTTATATGCATACTGTGAGTGAAAGTTAAGTCTGTATGTGTGTTTTTTGTGTGCGTGCATGCGTTTGTTTCACTCTCTATGGCTTTTAATCCCAAATTCTTTGTAGTTGCATTTTTTTCTCTAGCTCCTCCTACCATGGAGCAATAACCAAGTTATACAGATTTACTGCAATTGTTTGTCTTTTATGTGATTTGTGATATAAATGATACGTATCTGTTTTTGTAGGTGAATGCAGCTTTTCCATTCAATAACAGAGATCATGGCGCTCCGTCCCTCTCTCTCCTCCAAATCCTCACTATTAACATTCACCCCAATGCTGAAGCAGTCTGGGACAAAGAAATAGCTCCACTGCTTACAGTACTAGAGGGTATGAAAATATGTGCACATACAGTAATCATTTTATGCATTTATTTGCATTATACTATATATGTGCTTTGCTGTAGTTACACAAACTGGCACTTTTGCCCTTCAGGGGTTCTCATGCTTGTTTTGTTTTTTGTTTTTTTTTCTTGTAAAGATGATCGTCACCTTGAGTGTCATCCTCATGCACAGTATTTTTCACTATGCTGCTGCCAGAGCTTTCTGACTGTGGTTTTTGGTTTTAACAGAGTCCTCTGCAGAGAGTCTGGATAAGAAGGAGTGGGACAAGAGGTTACTGGAGGTGTGTGGGTTTATTTTTAATATTCCCTCTTCAAATGCATTAGTGATTTTCAGCTGAATAAAACAAAAATATCGTCCCACTTATTTGGGAAGAGAGTGAATGATTGTTGTCATCATTATTAGATTATTTATATAGTTGGACTGTTATGATCCCTGCTTCATCAAAAAAACATTTAAGTCAATTAATTTGATCAAAGTCATCCTAACGGTGCTAAAACTGTCCACAGCTCTTGTCTAAAACCCTGACAGCACTTGATGATGATAAGTGGGTATGTCAGTTGGCAGCTGAATCAACCAGATACCTCCCTACATATAACAACGCCTTAGAGGAGAAGGTAGGTACCTTTTTAACAGTAAAGGTTTATTAAATCAGTTCAGAGCTGCTAAGACTTCAAAGCAAACTTAATTTAGAAGTGAAAAATATGGAGCAGGTAGAGGGTGGTAATAAATCTAAGAAAAACGTCAGAATTTCTGACAGTAAAATTGTCAATTTCCAAGAGAAGAAAACTGCAATATTCTAAGATTTCCATCACAAATATGAGACCACAGTTCACACAGCACACATTAGCACTAAAATGATGCCCATGGTACTCCTTGTGCATATTTTGGCAAGACTGTGCAATGAGAGCTGATGCCAAAAGTTCATCATCTCACCCAAATCACCATTTTCTTCTAAATGGGCCCATTTTTTTCATGCTAATATTATGAATCATATTTAAAATCACAAGTATTTCTTCATTCTTAAATCCAATTGCAAGGTATAATTTGATTTGGTCATCTGCTGCAGACATAATGAATGCTAGCAGAACACATAAAATTTATATTTATTTATTTATATATATTTTTTGATTGCATACAGAAAGTTGAAAAGTTACACCTGACCAAGGGTGTAGCTTGAAAATAAACAAAACTTAACTAGTAAATTTTGTATAGTATAATTGATATCACAGATGTTCCTCTTATAGGAGAGAAAGATATGAAAATGCTGCTTAGATATTTATATAATGAGCCTTTTTT